GAGACACAACCTGTCGCTGAGCAAGAGCTTCCGTCGCATTCAGAGGGACAAGAGCCAGGTGTGTGCACAAAAGTCAGTTGAAATTATACGACTGAGTCCAAATGTTTATATTATATGAAAGTAACCCTGTCGCAAAATCAATGAACTGCATTGAAATTATTTTAATTTGCCACGTCTTTCTCTCTTTCTACCAAAAACTGGATTACAAAAGTCTTCAGTCTGATGGATTTGTCTCAACTAGACCATTTTTATGAAGGGAAATATTGTTTACAGAGACTTCGTAATTCATTTTATTTGTTTTGTTTGCTTATTTTTGAATATTTAAAATGTCTTCCAGTTCAAATGTTAAAAGTTCCATTGAAATTAAAGTTTATTGATCTTTGAAAGGTTGAACTTGAATTATTATGTAATTATCATTTTGTTACTTTAAAATGGTCTCAAGACAACAATATTATCGGATATCATTGGACAATTTATCATCCAGCCAAATTTATTATCGTGACATGCCTACGGGCAATTTAGTTTACAGAAACATCATAATAATTTTATTTAATAGTTTCAGTTGTGTTTTTTTATTTCTATTTTATTTATTGTTTTTTGTTGTCATGTTTTATTTTGGTGATTTTAAATATCCTCCAGTTCCAGCGTTTAGTTTTCAATACATTCACTGACCCGCACAGCATTTTAGGGGATGTAGACAGAGGAAAGGCTTTAGCTGCTCAGCCTCCAACAGCTAGCTCAGTAAGGTTAGCAGAATCAACTAAATCACTCGCTCTTTGGTTACCTAGCAACTCACTCGCTCTTCGGTTACCTAGCAACAACCAGCTGAGTAACTTGGCAGCAGCAGTTCCAGGTTCTGCCATTGTGCCTCATAATTGCTTAAAAATAAAAAACAATGACGTGAAGTGAAAACTGTGGGTAAAACAGGAAAGGTCATATGTATTTCAGATATTTAAAATAAAAAACTAATCAATAACTAACAGTTAACAATTATCAATACTGACTGATATGACAGGCTTATATTTTGTGTTTTTCTGCCATGTTGTCCAACTGTATTACTTGAAAATAGAATATAATTTTACACATAAAATTATATTCAATAAAATTATATCAATATTATTGTTTATCACAATAATTACTGGAAAAATGTATCACCCAGCTAGATGTGTTATGAAAGTGTACGTGTGTGTTTTGCTGCAGTCGGTGGGGAAGGGGTCGCTGTGGTGTGTGTGTCCAGAGTATCGGCTGGCGCTGCTGGAGGGTCTGAGGAAGACCCACAGCTATCACGGCTCCAGCAGCTGTCTGATCAACAAGCCTGTACTGTGAGTTCAATCAAAACATGAGTAATTTAGGGCTGAAACAATTAATCTTGTTAGGAGAATTTCTTTCGCTGCAAATGCATCCAAACAATAAACTACAAATGATCAACAGTAATGCTGTTATTACATTTTAGACAATAAAGTTTTAGGAATTATTAGTGTATTTGCTTCTATTAATGTACGTCAAACATTGTGTAAAAATGCTTTAGTAGTTAAATGAAAAATCTGTAGACTGTGCCAAAGTTTTTATCTGATTAGTCGTCAGAATAATCAATAGAATAATTGATTACTAAAATAATCAAGGTGCAGCCCTACTGTAAATGTCAGATGATTATTTATTCATTATATTACTACATTATATTATTCTTCAAATTTGGTTTACCTCAGAAAGGGACTCTCAGTCCAACTTCAGTCAGAAGTTTCTTCAAATTCAATGTAATACAGACTGCTACAGGAGGTAATTCCTGCCAACAGCCATCACTATCTACAATAATTCTTTGAAGAATCTGAATTAATATGGAGTTATTTTATTTTCCTATGGGATCATTTATTTATTTTTGAATTTGAATAAAGAGAAATGCATGGATGAGTTACTCTTGATCTTTTTTGGTCAGTAGTCCTTTAAACCTGGAAATGTTCTTCAGGTGATAGAAGACCGATTTTGTAACTTTATGTGTCTCTGAAGGTTCATTGTCTGAGTCCACCAGATTTCCAGTGGTAAGAACAGTAACAAAAAAGAAAACCACAAGAGGGCAGTTAGTTGCTATATTTTATTTAGTGGTTTAATAGTAAAGTGGTAAACTTGTCAGATTTTTATCAGTGGAAAAGATTTAAAATTATAATTACTGAACTACTTTTCAAAAGTATTTAAAAGTATTTTTAAAAACATAAGCTGTTTTGTTCCCTATCATCTCTCACTCCAGGTACAATCTGAGGACTTTCTAAGTAATTTTACACTTTTACAAGTGTTTTTATTTTTTTTTTTTTAATTTATTTTATTTGTATTTATTTATTATTTATTTATTTATTGTCTTGCGGTTTCATTTGCAGGTTAGATGGAACCAGCTACGAGGTGCCTGCAGTGTGCGACACGGTGGAGATCTCAGGTTGGTACCGACACCAGCGTCACGTTTCTAAAAAAAAAAAAAAAGACACGGACCGAGTCGTTTGGGGGCCTCTCCTAAAACCCAGAGCTCTCCGCCAGGGAAGAAGCAGCTTTCTGTGGCATTTTTATCACGGCTTTTTTTCAGCGCGCGCCATTGTTCCAGTGTTTGTTTTCTGTTGCCGTGGCAACCGCCTTTCTTCGTCTTAGCAACGGGCTTCGTCATTAGTCTGCTGTGTTTTAAGCCTAAATCTCTTTACGCAATAATTTGCTTTGTGAAGTGTTTAATTACTGCTTTGTTACATATCCTGACTCTTAAATAGACTATTGATGTTACGATTTTAGTGATTAATCTTTCTTATTTTCTTCTTTACCTCCTGCAGACTCTCTTTCTCACGCCCTGCTCCTTTCTAGTTCCTCTCCCCAAATGCACACGCCTTTCTCCGAAGACCTGCCGTGCCCTTTGACCCCGGATCACGAGGAGCTGGTCACCATGGAGCCGCACGAATACCAGCCGCACGAAGTCAGCGAAGACACCGAAAAGGACCCGCTGTCCGACAGCGGCTACATCGAGCTGCACTACTACGAGTCCGACCAGTGCCAGTACCTGGTGCTGCCCAGCGAGTCTGAACTGGACCTGGAGACTGTGGAGATCCTGCAGCTAGACGTGGAGGCCCAGGAAGCTGCCGGGTCCCTGTTGGACCTGGCAGGTGGTGTATATTAGCTCAATTAACCCAGATGTTTCAGTCATTAACTCATGTTTCCCCTTTAGACTTTATTGTATTATGAGATATTAAAAAGGAATTAAGTAAAAATCCTCCTGTATTCAGGCACTTTGAACGCCCATCCTGAACTCTTAGATCATACGGAAACAGATCAGAAAATGTTTTTAAAACTTGAAGTATTAAAAGTTCAGTTTTACAGTGTTTGCTGTAATGTTTCTAACAGTTCGAGCTAGGGGTGCACCGATTGCATTTTTATTGCCGATAATGATGTTTAAAAAGGCTGACCTGCTCATACCAATTTTTATTTTTTTTTGTATCTGAAAAAATATTGTTGTTAGCAAGTATCGGCCGAAATTAAAGAAATCTGGTTCGATTCATCGGTGCACCCCTATTTCGAGCTCAGCAACCTCAGGGGTGGAAAGAGCGCTTCCAAGCCGAGACGACGTAATGTTGCTATTACATCTTGGTTAAAGTTTCTTACAGTCAACCATTAAGTTTAACAAATAAATACCACATCAAGGCATGAACACTTAGTTACAAAATTGCATTTTCTAATAGATAGTTCTAATAAATGTATGTTTTTCTGTTTCCTTTTCTGAAAAAGGTTTCTAAAAGTATTTTTGGCAATAAAGTATATTTAATTTATTATGTACTTATTAATCATAAATGTACTGAGGAAGTATGGAAAAGCACTAGAAGAATAACAGTAAAGTATTGGTAGTAATATTTATATAAATAATCTCTTTTCTGTTATCTGATCCTGTTTGTTAGAGATGTTTTTGATGTTATGTATGTTTTTAAATCCCAGACTTCCTTTGTTCTTTATAATTTTAAGACTTATAAGCTAAGCTGTCATTAAACAGCATTAGTTTCTTTGTAAGTGTAACACTACCACTGCCATTTAGTTTAAAAACAATAAGTTGGGCTAAAACCTTTTTTTTTTTTTTGTAAATTCAGTGTTTCTCATTTTCTGTTCTGTGAAATAAAATCTTTATCTTGTTTGGTCAAGATAATATTTTTGTCTTCTCTTTTTTCATAATTTCTTAGAAATGAATTACAGATAGATCGTACAAAATCACCAAATTAACAAAATAAAGACTTGAATTCATGTGTGATTTCATCTTCTACAACTCTCCTTTTTAAAAGTACTGTACCTTTTTCTAAAACACTATTATTAAAAGTATTTCAGTAGTAAAACATATCTATTGTTACTTACTAATTTATCCTGGTAATAACATTTTTAGTTGTATTCCATTTCAAATATTCTCTTTTCTATATAATTTGACATCTATTCAAAATGTATTTAATTCACTTAAGTATTAATTTTTTATTTCTGTTTTTAGCTATGTGTTCTCCAATATATATATTCCTTTAAAATGTCAGTTTTTAGTTTTTTGCTTGTCACAGATATTTTTAAGTTACTCTAAATATAAATGTACATTTATTCGATAGTAAAAATTTTGTTTTTTGCGTTTTTTAAACAATGAGCAAAGAGACTTTATTCATAGTCTAATGTTAACAATGCAGTTTAAAAATATATTAATGAAAAAAAAATTGGATTAATTAAAACAAGCGAGGGGGAAAAAGTCTGAAGATTTATGATGTGTCGTGATGAATGACGTCACTCTTATGTTGGTTAATTTAACAACAGCAGAGGGCGCTACAGCTACGTCACAACTGTGCAAGACTGTTTTCTCTTCAAACGAATCCCGGTTGCTAGGATACCGTATCTGTCACCGTTGTGGAAACATTTCGGATGTGATTTGGATAAACGCAAAGTATCCGTTCCTACTTTACATTACCTGCTCCGTCGTTGCGTAAACATCACCCTGACTGAATAAAAACTACATTTCCCATTTCCTGCCGGTGAATTTCACTCGAAGGGGCTTGTAGTTTTCACCAGAGCTCGACCGAGAGAAGGACGTCACACAAAAAACTACATTCCCCGTGTGACGTTTCGCGGACTGAAGCCGGAAGTGGGCAGTCTAGTCGTGGAAAAAAGTTCTCATGACTGTTTTCGTTTCAGAGTGAAAAGTTGTTCCTTTCTCGGCTCTCCTGAGTGTCTGGAGACGCTTCTGGAAGACTCCGCAGACAACACGGCACCGTGAAACTTCAGCTAAAACAAACACGTATGTTACTTTATCACTTATGTTCCTTTGAACGCAAGATTGTTCGTGGATTTCTTTTCTAACTCTGCGCTCATTTAACAGCTAGTTCTTTGTTTTTGTCCGAACTGTCGCTGTTTTAACCGCTGTGTTAGCTTAGTTATGCAGACTCGAAGATGTTCGCGTTAAAAGTGGATTTCAGCTCAACTTTACTGCGCCAAACTCACTCTGCTAGCGGGCGATGTTGCGTAAAAGCGGTAATAAACTCTGATTGTGCTAATTTCTTGCATCCAGTCTGCTCTGGACATTCATTGCAAGGAAATGACTGGCATGCTGCTCATCAACGCCACACCTTAAAGGTACTTGAAAGTAGGGAGTGACCTCTTTAGTTTTATGACACATCGTCTCACCTTCTTGTCTTAATGTACGCCATGGAGGACGGCTTTCCCATGAAGTCTCTTAACAATGCGCTCTTTTGATTGGAAAGAAACATGACCAGATTATTGGAGGGCATGCTAAATCCATAAGCTGCAGGCAGAGCAGCATGACACCAATATGAACAGCCTGCAGCCACATCCACACAGAGCTAAACTTTGTATTGGTTGACTTGCTGGAATAGTATTTTAATGCCTGCAGGGCTATTAGCAGAAAATGTTGAAACATGTTTCGATCTGGACAAAAAATGCACTTTGTTGGGTTTCATTTAAGATAAATGATCTCATCTGCCACATGTGCTGATTGAAAAAGATTCAGTTTGATTCAAAATTGCTCATCATTCAACTATCATCAAAGTTCATTTCTGAAATAAATGCTTAAAATTAAAAATGAAATGCTTGATTGCCGATTATTTGTCCAGACATCAAATTCAGGCAAATTTTTCATTGATTCATCAAATTTTGATTCAATTTTAATGAAATAAACATATGATTTGATGCACTGTAGAGGATAATGTTGTAACCATGTTAAAAGCATTACATTTACATCCATACTGTACATTTTCTCACAATGAGATCTAATAAAAACTTCAGAAAGTTTGTGGAGCTTTACAAAACTACAAAAGCTAAGTAAATGGGACAGAAATAAATTATTTAAAATTTTTGTACAGTATTGTGGTGCATTTATAGACCACTTTTACATGCATACACTTTTATTTTGTTAAATTATAATAAAAAAGAAATTACAAATGACAGAACATACTTTCAAAAAGTGGCTTTTGTCAAATCTTCTGTGAGTTGTATGCTGGTGTATTAAGGCCTGGCTGCAAAGTGCTTTGTAATTATTCAGTTATGAGAGCATAGTTGAATTTTAGCAGAATACAGATGCAAAAACATTACAAGAAAAAAATAGTTTTAATGATATAAAAAAAACTTGTATAGAGTTATCAGGATCTGATGTGGCCACTTCATTTTGTGTAGTTTTTTTCTTTAAAATAGACTCAGTCATTTGCTCAATCATTTCAAAGTCCTGCTACTGATCTTTTTTTTATTGTTTGTGCAGGAGTTCCCATGAAATTACTACTTCATTCTCCTAATATTGCAACTTTTTTCTGTTAATATTAAACTATATGCTTGTATTATTTAAACTTTTATTGTACGAAGGTATTCTTGAAATATTATGACTTTATTCTCATAATTTAAAAAAGTAAAAAATATTAGCCTGACCTTAAAATTGGTTAATAGTGTTGACCTGCATTCAAAATAAATATTTATTTTAAATATGCTTGTCAAGCAAGATGGTAGCTCTGAGTGTGCTCACATCACTCCGAATTAGGGCTGAAACGATTAATCGGATTAATCATGATTAATCACTATTAATCGATTATCGAAATAACCATTGATTAATTTATTAATCCATTAATTGCTAACTAAAGTCTACAGATCCAAAAAAGGCAATTTGGTGAAACAAACACATCACATTCAGAGCAGTAATCACATCGAAACTGTACAAAAATATATAATTTTGCATTTAAGATAAAAACACTTTTGTCTGTAAATATGTTTTTACCCAAAACTCAACAAGTTGCATAATTTTAGCTTCACCTGGCTCAGATTTACTAAAGAAACGCGGTGGTGTTGCATTTTAGGCTGTAAAATGCATCTTTTATTGTATTTCTAAACTTTATAAAAAAGCTTTAAGTGGTTAAATGAAAAGTTTGTAGAATGTGCCCATTTTCTAACAGGTTGTCAAATAATCAATAGACTAATCAGTAACGAAAATAATTGTTAGCTGTAGCCCCAATCTGAACTATGAAAACCAAAGGAGTGCATTGGTAAAGAAAAATCTAGATTTTCCAAAAATTACATCTTCAAAAACTTTATTAGTCAACAAGCCGCCCAGCCATAATGTTTATTAGCAACAATTTTATTAAATTAAACCTTAAAGAAAATATTTTAAACATTTGAAGAAAGTTGATACCAAATGTTAGTAAAGTTTTATTTAATGTTTTCATGTAAAGCGTCGTAAAGCTTTTATTTGAAGGTAAATAATGTTTTACGTTTTTGTTTGTTTGTTTGCAGAATGGGGAGTGATGCACACCCGGTTCAGATTGTGGACGTGAATAAGGACGATCACTCTTTCACGTTGAACACCGAGGCTTTAGCTCAGATTCTGCTGGACCCGGCGGTCCGAGACAAACATGTGGTGGTTCTGTCGGTGGCCGGCGCCTTCAGGAAGGGGAAAAGCTTCTTACTGGACTTCATGCTCCGCTACATGCACAGAAAGGTGAGTCTGAGGTGTTGCCATGACGACGCCTGTCGCAGTAAATCAATTAATCTCTCATGATAAATTAAAACGAGCTCGAGAATGTCAATTTTTTATGATTAGTTGTTTTTCTTTTCTCTCTTTCTACTAACAACTGGATGGCAAAAAGTCTTGAATCTGGTGCTTTGGTCTCAACTTGCCTGTTTTCTTTTGAAGGACAATTTAGTTTACAGAGACATTTAATGTATCGTTTTTTATTAAATTATCAGAGGAATTATGACTTACTGTTGTCACGATAAATTTTAATTAACATTTTAAAAACACTTAGTTTTACTATTTTCTCCACTGTTTGTTCAATGAGTGTTTCAGTCAACATAATTAAATCTCAAAATATAATCAAACACTCCTTTATTTGACTGCTGTCCTGAAGAAGTAAGTGGGAATGTTTTTCAAGAGCAGCATTTGTTTTTGTGGGGCAGTAATAGTTGTGACACAGCCGCAGCCACACAGTTACCTAAGAAAGTAATAAATAATTCTTATATCATGATAAATATTGTGATAAAACCTAACGTCCACATCACTGACCTCTCTTCATTTTTGTTATTTTTTTGGCTGTTTTGTTTATTTCCGATATTTAAAATTTCTTCTACTTCCAGAATTAAATGTTTGTCAGAAATTAAAGTTTGACTTCCATTATTACTCCGTCACCATTATATTACCTGAAAATTGGCCTGTAACAATAATTTTATTGTTTGTCATAATAACTTTAGGGACTGGTTGCTGGCAGGTCACGTCATGAATGATTTTTCAGTTTTATCTCCATCTGGTTTCTCCAGAATCTGGGAGGCATTGATGCATTAGCACATCATGAAAACATGCATGTGACGTGAAACGCCCAGTTTGTGACCAAACCCGTTTGCTTATGAATAATAATTTAGATTTATGTTGCCAGGTTTTATAGGAAGTGTAATCAGCATGTATTAGTTCCCTGTTTGTTCGGATGTGTCCAGCAAGCTTTGAGACTGCGATTGATAAGTGCTATTGATTTTCTTACATTTTTTTCTCCCTCTTCCATTAAAATGTTTCCTGTTGCACCATTTTAAATTTTAAACTGTAGCTTCCAGTGGACAGTAAAACAAGCTGCTAAGTGCGGAGCTAATCAGAACCTGAGAGCTCTGCTCTCCACTTTGTTTGTTATAAAACACTGGAGATGTCTATTTATAGCGCAGGCTGTAATGATAGTTGGAGCTGCTGGCAAAATGGTGGAAGAAAAACCCAAAACACAAACCCTGAGGGAAGCTGTTTCTGCTCTAAAGTTTTATCTGAATGTCTGTTGTGTGTTTGGTATTTACGGTTTAACTTGTGTGTCTGCAGAGCGACAATAACTGGCTGGGTCGGGATGACGAGGAGCTGACTGGGTTTTCTTGGAGAGGCGGGTCGGAACCGGAGACGACGGGCATCCAGCTGTGGAGCAAAGTTTTTACAGTTCAGAAGAGCGACGGGACGGAGGTACTGACGTCATCTAGAGATATTACTTTACTTCTCATATCTGTAACAAATAGCAGGTGTCACTTAAAGTTTGATTTTTAGATTATAGCACATATTAGAATGAGCAAATAGGGAGAAAAATTGAAAAAGTTTTATTACACTTCTTTGTTACTAGTTCTTCAAACTAAAGACCTAGCAATTTATTATTTTACTTCAAAGTCAGCTTTTTACATCTTTGAGTTTATTTTTTGCAGTAATTAAACATTTTTTTATTAATCTAAATTGACATTAAATTCAAATTCAATTCAAAAATACTTCCCAAAGAGAAGTATTTTTGCTGTGACTCGTATTAATTCAAGATTCTTCAAATGGGGACAGTTTTGTCCAGGCAGACGTTTTTATAGTCGGTCACACACAATCATTCTCCATGTGGCTGGCAAAGAGCAATCCAATCGGCAGCCTCAAAACAACCCCACATGGCTTCTTGTCACCACTTTCTCACAGTAAATAAATATTATTAAATAAATACAGTTTATTTCTTTACTCTAAAAGTAAAAAAAACAAAACAAAAAGTCAGTTATTATAGGAAGTAAATGTCTGCTGCTGTTCCGTGTCTCTCCTGTAGGTGGCTGTGGTGTTGATGGACACTCAGGGAGCGTTTGATGACCAGTCCACAGTGAAGGACTGTGCCACCATATTTGCCCTCAGCACCATGACCAGCTCAGTCCAGGTAAACATCTCACTCTGATCAATGCTGATTAGTTTGTCATTGTTGAGTTTTCTGACATGACTTCTGGTTTGGTAGATCTACAATCTCTCACAGAACATCCAGGAGGACGACCTGCAGCAGCTACAGGTCAGTCTGGGTTTGTGTTGTTGTTTTGTTTTTTTAACTTAAGAGATGAGTCAGTTTCATAGAATATTTTCAGAAAGAACAGTTTGTCTTATAGTTACAACCTAATTTTACTATTTTTATTCCCACCTGGACCTAATTGTTGTAGGACTGCTGTAATGAAATACAGCTGTGTTGTGATTTTAAAGACATCGATGTATCACATTTAATGAAATAAGATGCCAACCGTACAGTCCAGCCTGCCCTCCCTAAAACATAAGGGAAAGTGGAGTTTGGCCTTCGCAGTTTAAATTTATCTGGACGCCTATGTAACTTTGTAATGAAAGGAGAACTATCATGCAAAATTCACATTTTGCACATTTTTGTGCTTCCATTTGGCTCTAAACTGGATTTACAAACAGCCTAAACATTTAAAAAACAAACCCATTTAGTTTTTGGTGATAAGTTGACGTGTTTTTCCTCTAAATTAAGTCACATCCATGGGGACTGCACCGTTACCTAGCAACTCCAGCCGAGCTCAACCCGTTACCTAGCAACCCATGGAGTGTTCCAGCATATTTTATCTGCTGGTTTTACCTCTGTATGCTCTGTACAATGGCTGCTGGAAAAGACAAGTGCTTTGTTGTTGACTTACCATCCATAAACCACTTGGTGCATTTTTGTTGCGCAGGAAGCACCACTTCTGCTTTTCAAAAATGTACAGTTGTATAATTGCACAACTGTTTGCAGCCATTTCCAGGTGTGACTTTAAGCGTCAAATTGGGGGGCGTGGCCAGCTGCAGCTTATTTGGATTTAAAGTGACAGAGGCTCCAAAAACCAGAGAGTTCAGTTTGGTTTCAGCTGCTGGAACCAAAGTTCAGTCGGCTTTTCTCACCAGTAATTTAGAATATCATCAATAAAGTTAATTTATTTCAATGATTCAATTAAAAAAAGGAAGCCCCTTACACCCAGTTGACTCAGTTAACATTGATCCATGTCAGTGTTTAGGAAGATTGGGGCTTTTAGCCAAAGGAAACCCAAAATTTTCTCAGAGAATTAGAACACCACATAATACCGTTTTTTTGTTGTTGTTTTTTTATATAAAAAACAGATTTTTATATTGGAGTTTGTTGGCTGTATCGGAGCATATTACTGAAGTTAATGGTGACATTTTGCATCATTTTGGTGTTTTCTCCTCTCAGCTGTTCACAGAGTATGGCCGTCTGGCCATGGATGAGATCTTTCAGAAGCCGTTTCAGGTATCATAAATCACAGTATCCAACACAGTAACTCATGCTAGTGTGGTAATTATTATTGTTAAATATACATATATCACTGTTCTTTTCATCCTGCAGTCGTTGATGTTTCTGGTCAGAGACTGGAGTTTCCCTTATGAATACAACTACGGCTTCAAAGGTGGCAACCAGTTTCTGGAAAAACGGCTACAGGTACCAGTTTAAATGTTTCTAAAATGATTTTAAAAGCGCTGCAACATTTCTGTAATGCTGTGTGTGTATGTTCAGGTTAAGGAGGCTCAACATGAGGAGCTGCAGAATGTGAGGGAACACATTCATTCATGTTTCACCAAGATCTCCTGCTTCTTGTTGCCTCACCCTGGCCTCAAAGTTGCCACCCACCCCGCTTTCCGGGGGCAGCTGAGAGGTGAGACTGGCTTAGTTTTGATTTTAATAGAGAAAATCCAAACGTTGCTGGTTCTGCTGCTGAGTTTTGATAAAAGCTGAAAGTAAACTCTCTAAAAATTTTGCCTTATGAAACAAAGACGAGTCGGCTCCAATGTTTATGAATCGTATCTATTTAAGTTGTTGTGGAGAAATGTAATGTGTTTTATAAGCCTTTATAATTATTATATTAGCTGAAAATAGTCTCTAAATTAATTATTGTTTATTGCAATAATTTCCGGGACACTTTATTGTCCAGCAAAGTTTATTACTTTGACAGTCTAATAAGAATAATCCATAAATTATGATTTTAGAAAACACTGTTTATCGGGAACAAATTTATTGATATAGTGAAACTACAGACAACTCTTAATTATTTAGAAAGCTAAAAAGACTTATGTTTGAAAAACATTCAAAAATTGTTTAAGATTAAGGAGCAAAATGTATCATTTAAGGGAGAAATCACAGTTTAAATATGCAAATTCAGAACAAGTAGAAAAAAACGTTTGTGTGTCAGAAAATGGAGCCAAACTGGAATCATTTAAATATTGAACAATATCCAAAACGATGAAAGCAATGATAATTATTCAAACTCTTTTAACAAAACCACTTCAGTTCCAGATAAAAAAAAATCTTAATAATCTGCGCATATATATATGTTCAGAAAAGAAAAGTGTTTCACAAATAGCTTTAAAAAAATGCAAATATAAACATTACTATGGAAAATGTACAACTCAGTAGGAACATTTTATCTCAATCAGACATTGTCAACTAAAGACACAAAACTATTCAAATTATTAAATAAACATATTTTTACTACTGGATATAATATAAAATATTGATTGTTTGCATTTTTGTTACTGATGTAGTTTGGTGAAATTTAAATAAATAATTCTTCATCCACTGCAATAAAAACTAAATAGATACTATATTGATTAGTTTATATATGCATTATACATGTAATAAATGTAAGATTACTTGGGTAAATGCTAAGTTTTTACATTGTCTTTCATGCTGTAAGTATTTTTTTGCACACATTAACCACATAATAAACGTTTAACTTGTTTCCAGATGTTGCTGCTGAATTCAAAACGGAGCTGCAGGCTCTGATCCCCAGACTGCTGCATCCAGACAACCTGGCTGAGAAGGAAATGAACGGGAACAAAGTGACCTGCAGAGGCCTGCTGGAGTTCTTCAAGGTGAAATCCCCCGGTTCTCTGCAGCTCTGCTGAGGCCCGCTCCGTTTTTCTTACTCCGTCCTGCTTTGGTTTCCAGGCTTACATTAAAATCTACCAAGGAGAAGATTTGCCTCAACCAAAGACGATGCTCATGGTACGTCGGGATGTTGGCAGGGTTTGTTTTCTGCTGGAGATCCTTGAAAATGCCTGAATTTCAGTTACCAAACTGCACAGTTTGGTAATAAATCTAATGTTTGATTAAAAACCTAAATTTGCAAAGTGTTATTTACACTTGAAACCAGATATTTTCATACACCTGATTATTTTTCTCAAGTTAAATCAAACTAAATGTTTATTATTTTAGGTTTGTTAGAATTACAAAAAATATTTCTACTTGCTACGTGCCAGAAAACTTTTTGAGAACATATTTTAGAGATCCTTTTTTGTGACTTTTATTGTGCTTTAGCTTTTAAATATCATTTACCTTAAGATTTGTTTGGATTGTTTCAGTGTGTTTAACATTTATTATTCCTAGTGGCCCAATCACTTATTGATTGTTTTGTATGTGATTGATTTCTTGATATTCAAGCTGCACATTTTGTCTAATCTGATATTTGATTAAAAGTCTAATTTTGCAAAACATTAATTATAGTTGAAAACAGATATTTAAATAAAATAGACTTTTTTTTCTCAGTCTGAAGTTAAATCAAACTAAATGTTTCTTATTTTAGATCTGTTAGAATGACAGAAAATATTTAGATTTGCTAAATGCCAGAAAACGTCTTGAGGACATTTTTTAGACTTTCTTTGTGTATTGTGTTTAAACATTTAATTTGAGCAGCAACGTCATTTACTTCAACACAATTTGTTTCGATTGTTTCAATGTGTTGAATATTTACTATTCATGTGATTAATTTCTGTATAAAAGCCTTGAAAATGATGGATTTTAAGACTACAGTTTGGTAATAAGGTGCAATTTAATGTTTGATTAAAAGCCAAAATTTGGAAAATATTATTTCTTAAACCAGTCGGAAGTTCAGGATGTGTGTAAGAGAGACATTTCAACACATAAAATTTAGTTATTGTTTTATTTTTCCATATCCCTGAATGTAGAATACTATCACCAGACTATTAATAATGGTGATAAATTATATAAAATAGTATCTGGTGCTGAAAAAGTTTGACTTCTTACCTTAAAATGCTTGAATTTTGCTGTAGGAAAAGTGTACAAACTGCGTGTTACGGAGCTGAACAGGCCTCTCAGTTTGAATTGTTTTGTTTTTGTTCTTCACCATGAGCAACACATCTGTTTATGATTTTACTAGGCCACAGCAGAAGCCAACAACCTGGCAGCCGTAGCAGCAGCTAAAGATCAGTACCAGAAGAACATGGAGAGGGTGAGTTTTCTGCCATGCATGAGCCACATCAAGCATCTCTACGGTTCTGGTTCTTCAGTGTGTTTGTGTTTTTATCCCACCTTAGATCTGTGGAGGAGATCTGCCGTATGTGGCTCCAGAGGCACTGGAGGAGAAGCATAACTTCTTCCACGGAGAAGCCATCCACATGTTTGCAAACACAAAGAAGATGGGAGGACAGGAGTTTTGCGATCGCTACCAGGCTCAGTTGCAGAAGGAGCTGGACGAGATGTGGCAGTCGCTTAGCAAGCAGAACGAGGTGAGACTCGTTCTTTATTCTGCATGAATCTGAATCCGCTAAATGGAAAGTTTTATTTCTGAAGCCCTCATCTAGTTTTATATTTTGTTTCCAAAGGAACCTGCATTCCCTTTAAAGTGACTTTTAATGTTTTTTTTCTTTAGACTTTCCTTGCTTTTCAACCTGAACATGTTTTTTAAATATTAGTTTACCTAAAGGTGTTTTCACACCGGATTTAGTTCAATTTGAGACCAAAATTGCTACATTTGTTGCAATTTCAGCTGCTGCTGTTCGCTTTCACACTGCGCTTTGTCAAACTATCCAAACAAATTGAACAGCCGGTTCCCCTCCTCGCCTGTGGGGGAGCTGCACCAAGAACCACTGAAGGAAACAACATAAAAACCTCAGAAGAAACTGAGCGCAACTTTCTTCTTTACTAAATGTAAACAAAGTGGAGTAGCGTCAGATTTTAGTGACTGCTGGATTTCTCTTTTGTCTCTGTTAAAAACCACGAGCCATTTCTCCTGCCAGCGCTAAACCTGCGTTTGTTTTGTTGTATTTACCCAGAATGCCCTGCGCTACAATCCACTTTCTGCTCTTGAAAGTCAAAATATTTCCAGAAACCATGAAGAGCTTTGATTTTTATTTGGTTTTGTTTCATAATGTGATGATTAAATGTTTCTTTGTTATAAAGGCTAAGAACCTGTTCAGCGCCTTCCGGACTCCGGCGGTTCTCTTCGTGCTGATGTGCCTCCTCTACATCATGTCGGGCGTGCTGCTCTTCGTCGGCCTGGCGACCTTTGCCCTGGTGTGCGACTGCGGCCTGGGACTGCTGATGGTCGCCATGTTGGTTTGGGCCTTCATCCGCTACTCTGGCCAGTACCGCCCTGTGGGCGGAGCCATCGACCAGGCTGCCGGCGTTGTCCTAGAACAGGTTTTTATTTTGTTATTATTGATTGATTGATTTGAAAACATGTTTGTTTACAAATAAAAAACAAAGGGATAGGATATGAAATGTGTGCGTTGGGGCGGGTCGGTAAATAAAAAGCAAAAAGTTAATATTACTGACATGACACATTTATTATTTTATTTATATATGAGGACTTGGAAAAATGCTCAGCTTTAAACCAATTCAAGATAAAAAATGATTAAGTTCTATACACATTTGAATTAATAATGAGGAGATGACTTAATGTTTGCGGCCTTGACAAATTTATTTAGTGACTGTTGAGAAAGAGGCAGATTTCTACATGATTGTTCTTCTTTTCCTGCTCTCTTTGCACTCATGTAGAGTCAGTGTTATAGAGAACATTTCTATATTAATGATAAAATTTGTTAAATCTAGTGAATAAACTGATTATTGAATTTTTTTAAGTCAAGTTGATGTTGGAAGTGTTTTTAGCTGCAAATGCATCCTTTGATCAAGCATATGCACTAAAATAATGGCGTGTTGTTGACTTTTAGGCAATAATTTGACTTTCTTATCTGTTTATTTGTAGTTTTTCATGTATTCTATTGTACAAAATAAGTTTAAGTGGTTAAATGAAAAATCTGCAGAATGTGCCAATTTTTCATCAGAATAATTGATAGGATTGTTAGTTGGAGCCATAATCTCCATCTTTGTTTCATTGTCTCTTCACCTTTATAGATAAATAGACAGAAGGTAACATTTCATCAAATCTAATAAATCATCTTCTTTGTGTAATTCTTTTAAGGCTACGGAGATGTTGAACAAATCGAGAGGAGCACCAGTGAGCATCCAGAAGAAATCCAGCTAGAGGCCTGAACGTCCGGCGGTCTCTAGTCCAGACAGACGAACCCAAGCACACTTCTAGCACTAAAGCCTTATCCTCATCATCATCATCATCATCATCATCATCATCATCATCATCATCATCATCATCATCATCATCATCATCATCCTCACTGGCCCTGGGTGACGACTGCCCCATCCTGACTCACCAGCATCAGAAACGGCCTGTTGCAGTCCAGGAACATCCCAAAACAAAACCCTCTCTACAAGTTTACAGTTTGTCTTAACAGAAAAGTCAATGTTTACCTTCACACCTCATGGTTCAGTTTTTTAAGCCTTACCGGGCTGAGACATGGGTCCACTTTGTAGTCCGTCTTCAAGATGCTTCAAAATGCAGCTTTAAAGCCTTTACATTTACGCCTGCTTTTGTAGCTTCTTTTTTATTTTCTCATAGCCTTAAAATATTCAGTTCTCCTTGTAGATTTGCTTTACAGATGTTACAAGCTAGCATTCCTTGGAAATATAAACAAGCAGAAAAAGAAACACACTTTCTCGGGAGCTTTGTGTCATTGACACTAACTTCTATTTTTATTTATTTTGTCTGTTATACCCTTGATGGAAACATGCAGGGCATTACAGAATAAACCAGACGCAGCTTTTTCAGTTTTAGCTGAAAAAGAAAGTTCTGGAATAATGAGGTCAAATCACCAGCATACGAAAGCAAGCGATCAGTCAGCCAAAGAGTTAGCTTTAAACGTCATAATTAAATTATACTGTTATCTCTTCTACATGTTGGTATAATTAATTACCTGAACACAAAGCAACCACCGCCTTTAAATACAAAAACACAAAATAAAAATTCTGATTGTTGCAAATCGTATCATCTTTGCATCAAACGTCGTCAGTAATATTTATATGCACACGTTATAATCTGAGCTTTCAGGGAATACTGAGGAACCACTCTAGCATGTCTCTGTTGGTATTTAAGCTTTTTCCTGAAGGTTTTCTTCCTCATAAGAACCGATTTAATTACAGCTTGAACTGTCTGTGTGAAATGTCCTACATGTGGAGCAGAGGCTTCATTGTTCTGCATCTGCTGCTTGACTGATCAGTTTTGACTTTTAGTTCTCAAACTGGATTTACTTAGTTGTTTTTTGCAGCAAATCAGAAGGAATTTGGTGGCAGATTAAAGGGCTGCTATTATTTGCAACAATGTCCTCCATTCCTGGGTAGATTAAATCTTTTTTTTTTTTTAAGTATGATATGACTAGAGAAATGAAACAGAAAGCATTAGGTATTTTAAAAATATCCAGTGTTTTGTGTAATGGCAGCCATAATGTGCACTTTCACACCTGATCATATTGTGTGCACACAAAGATTAAAACTAGGGCTTTATTCTTAGTGAATGCATGAAATTATATATGCAAGTCTGAAGTGTTCAGGGCCAAAAGTCACTATTGAGATGATTTTTCACCATTGTGCGGTTCTTTGTGTTTCTCTTTTTGTCCACTAGAGGGAGCTTGTGGACGTCTTACAAGCAGTTATTTTTGCACTTTGCCTCTTTGGTGCTTGTTGCACACATCTCATTCCAAATGTGGGAAACAAATGCATGCAATATTGTAGTAACAGCAAATGTAACAATCTCTTGCATTGATCTGATGACCATGACTTTGACATAATGCTGTTTTATAAAGAATAAACAGAGGTTCACACAGTTCCTGCTGTTTTGTTAGCTCATATCTGACCTTATTTACGCTTCGTTTGGACAGAAGTCAAATACAAAAGTGTGATTTGTATCAGTAAACTGCACAAAGTAACAGCATTTAATCATATTTTGAGATTTATGTACTTGTACTGATACTCTCATTGAACAAACAGTGGAGAAAATAGTAAAATTAACATCTTTGGGGGGTTTTAAATATCATTAATTAAAATGTATTGTGACAAGTCAAAAGTCTTCTAATAAACCAGTAGAGCAAATGAAAACTTGTATAATTGAAACCAAACTTTTATATATTTTTTCTCTTTCTGACTACATGCTTTCTGTTTAAAGTTGGAATTACAAAATGTATTTGTTTGCTAAATTCAAAGATGAGTGAGAGAATTTCACTATTCCCTTCAATTCCAGGAGTTAACTTACTCTAACTTTAAAATAAAAATAAAAAGCTCAGATGATAGGATAGGTCTAATAAACCTTTTGTCATATGGACCAAAATCAAGAAAGAGATGTGAGACTTAAACATTGTTTTGTTTGCCTAAGACAAAGTCATTCAGTTGGTAATTTATTCTGGAAAAAATAGTCTATTCTCAATAAAAACAGGCTTTAGGCAACTCTTTCTCCTGAAACACCTGCTACTCTTTGCCAAGTGTAATAAATTAATTAAAAGCAAGTTTTAATTAAGCAAAATTTGCTTTTGAGAAAGTCATTTGATAGATGCTATTTAAATTAAATAAAAAAGCAAACACATTATTAATGGACAAATACTTTTGTGTTGTTCCTGACATGTTCTATTGTAAGATTTGAATTTGTTGGCATAAATAAAAAGCCTCCGTCTACTACAGTAACCAACTGTCTGTTAGGGGCCGCAGAAAATCAGTCCACGCACCACAAATGGCCCCCGGGCCGTCCTTTGAACACCCCTGGTTTATACGGCTCAACCTTGTGTTGGCTTCAGTCGACTATTTTGTTATCTGATGTTAACAGTGTACTCTTGGCCCACCGATTTCACTATATTCAAGCTTCGTTAGCTAAAGGGGTTTTGTCGTATTTTTTATATGTTTCCACGCAGATAGCCTCCCAAGAATTTATTCTGCCCAGGTCCCCAGGATGTTCAAGTGTTTGTATCCGCTCTACAAATATCTGTCATCCATGTTTCTCCTCATCCGGCTTCCTCCTCCCCCTCCTGCTGCTCCTGCTGCTGCTAGCTGTCCACCTCTCTCTTCCTAGCGCTGACTCTGACTCTCCCTCCGCCATTCGATGCTCCACAAAAATCTCGTGCAGCAAATTTGAGAAGGTCCTCGCTGCAGCAAACAGAAAGGGGCGGGGACGGACCACTGTCAGTCCCATACCTTATTTGGAAATGGGACTATTGCACTCCGGAAGTGAAGGGGGCGCTATTTTCCTAATTGCTAGTATAAACACCTTAAAGGAAAGACGTTTGAGAGGTTATTCCATTGTTCCACGTGTTCGGCACACGATCCAAAATGGAAAAGGCACAAAGTCAGCAAAAGGTATTTTTATCTTCCTAAAACTTTTTTCACATAGTAAATCAATACGCTTTTCTAGATGATATTGAACATATAATAAACAGCCGTAAACTATTGAAATTCGTAATTAAAAGAGGCTAAGGTTAAATTTAGCATGTAGCATAGCTAATTATTTCCCTGCAGGGCACCATTACATAAAAATAGAAAAGTAGATAAAATGTATAATTGAGAAGTGTATTTTATGCTCAAACTTTATTTTTTATTTTCTTTAACAACCTTCGGAACGGAGAGAAGATTCTTCCGTATTGCATGAATGATGGATATTGCTGTTCCCTTTGCTCATACAGTGCCGATGAGTCGTTCAAGGTAGTGAACCATATAACAAGAACTGCTACGGTTCAACATAACGGTATGTAAAACTACACTTGCACTATAATTTATTTATTTATGTATTTATTTATTTACATTCTTAACAGTTTTCTAGTGTGTTTTTTTTTTCATTAAAACACTAGAAAAAGGTTAATCCTTTTTGAAATATGTTTTTGTACACCAACATTTCTGGAAAGTCTTAATACTTTTTATAAACTAAAAGCTGCCATCATAGGTGGGTGTAGTACCCTCTACTTCAATATATTTTTAGTAGTAAATAACTGCAAAAAACACTAGTAAGAGTATTTGGTGAAATGTCTATTAAGTACGGTTTTACTGATCATAATGTGCAATGTAATATTACTCATTTATTTCTGCAGACATGAATAAAAATGAAATTATGTGCACTGTTGGGTATTTTAAAAACAAAAATTAAAAATCTTAATATAAGTCAACAAATTAAGGTTAGAAGAAACCTTACAAACAACATGTATCTGTGTGTTGTGTTTCTTTATGGGTTAAAATATGTTCTTCATTCTGTGAAGTTGCTCGTATTAGGGTGCATATCAACAAAATCTACTCAAATAAGAGTATAACATATGACAAAATAGTCCATATATCTATCAAAACATATATACATGTTTATCAAAAGTTACAGAGTAAATGAGTAAATCTAATTAGTTAATATGCTATGCTTAATTTTTTAAAATCTGAAACAAAATGAGGAAAGGACAGTTAAAAAGGTTGAAGCAGTTTTGATGTTATTTGGACTTGGGCTCATCTTTCACTTTGAAAATATCTATATTTTTACAGACTCTGTGTGCTGAAGACCACACCTATGCAAAAGCAACCAAAGCACAAATTGAGGTTAATTTTTAAAATGTACACATAACTATTAATTTTGATTTGTATTTATTTATGTGCAATTGACACTGAAACCATAAATGATTTTTTTTAACAAGAAAATATTTTTTGCACAGCATTTTTTTATGACAGTAGAGATGGAAAGGGTAAGACACTGAGAGATATAAAGTGTTAATTATTGTTTTATGCTTTTCACCATGCAGGTACAAAAGATACCGCCAATTTTGCAGGTAAGATTTATTCATAATCATATGCGTCATAGCCATTCTTTGGCTGGATGGTAAGGACCTTTGACTTTTTTCACATAAAACATGTAAAATTAGATTTCAACTACATGAAATTGATCATTCATTTACAGGTGAGATCAATTGGGGTAAATTTTCAGTCATTCAAGGCAGAAAACCGAATTCCTTTTGCTGTTGTTACGTGTTCTTCCTGCAACCGGCAATATAAAGACTGTGTGGGCTTCACTGGAAATGGAAGACGAGGAGAGTACCCTCGTTACTACTCTGATGGCATACCTGGACACTGCCCTGGATGTCAGTACTGAATGCAAGGAGAATATTTGTTGTTTTCCAGTCTTTCACACATTTCAGTTGTCACACATTGTTCTTTTTTGGCGACATGTCTTTTTAAATCTGTTCTGCTGACATTTGGACTTCTTCAGTCATCCTTTTGTTTTTCACAATGTGTTCTTTAAACATTATGTACATTTTTGAGTGTTCCTTTTGTTGTAGTTCAGTTGATTTATATTATTTAGTTTTTTTTTGTAGAACTGTTGTTTCCAGGAAAAGTTACATTGTGGCTCTAATATATTAAAGAGAAAGTAGAACCAATAAAGTAGTTGTAAATATATCGTAACAGCATTGTTTAACATTTGGAAAACCTTGTTTGAAACATTTGAAATGCAAGCAAAGTTAATAACTAAGTATTTTATGTGTACATAAAATGTTTCATATACTTTTTGAACAATGACTGGAATAAATACAAATTTTCTTTACAAATCTTATATACAGCTAAGTTGTTCATGTTTTAGCAATCAGAATCAATAGTTGTTTGTTTTAATAAAGCAACCAAATACAGAAACATGTTCAGTGACAAATATGCCATAATACAAAGATTAAAGGTATGCTGAGCGATGGTGGAGACCAGGTGGAGGTGATGGAAACTCAGGTGAGGAGCAGTTGTATACATCAAGCTGGACTTTATGAAGGGTAATTTAAGGAGATGAGACGGGCGCCTATAGGCTGGCACGGAGGTGCATGATGAGCTGATTTGCTGAATTGAAGAGCGTTAGAATTTACACATAAGCATAATTTATGTATCCAGTGACTATTCAAAAAGGCTTTCATACAGAAACAAAATAATTCATCCACAGTGGATCATTCTCTTGTCAAATAAACTTTCTAAAACCTACTATCTCTCTGTGTGAGTGTTTCCAGGTTGAAGCTACATTTAAAGTTTTACATGAATCCCTTTGGGTTTTGCAATAATTGGATATTTGAGTGCAGTTTATGAATAAAATGCATTATGGTAAACAATGATAATAGTTGAGCTCATCTGCAACCAAGCATATTATAGTTTTTGGAATGGCACTAGTTATATTTTAGATTTAAACTTATTTATTTTAAGAGTACTTTTCACTACATCACAATCTATTAATTGAACTCCAGCGTTCTTAAAGTATTTGGTATCTGTTTTCTATAGGATGGACTGGTGATCTGCCCAGGGTCCACCGCAGCAGCATTCACGAACCCACAATAGGGATAAGCGTGCGTGTATTATAATTAATGGATGGATAAATGTGTTCCTAATGTAATGTACATTTGTCTTTAAAATATTAATTTCATTTATTTTTTAAGCCTTTTGTTTCAGACACATCGGGTGAGAATAGATACATATACATAATAATTCTTTATTGTTGCTTGTTTTAAGTTATTACTATAATTTTAACATTCAAGAACAATAGTTTTAATTAATTTTTTTAAAAGGGACATACCACGTGACATACATATCACGTGAAATAACACGTCTTGTAGTAATTTCTTTACTGTTTCATTTGTGTTTATGATGTTGCAAAGTGTCCTTGGGTGTTTTGAAAGGCGCTGTCAAATACAATGCATTATTATTATTATTATTATTATTATTATTATTATTACAATAACGCGGCTGGTACAGGAAATAGCGCCACTAGCGCCCCCTTAAGATCGGATTGCAATGGTCCCATTTCCAAATAAGGTATGAGGCTGACAGCGGTCCGTCCCCGCCCCTTTCTGTTTGCTGCAGCGAGATGTACTTGGCAAATTTCGTGTCCCTTGTTTCCTTATATGGTGCCCGGCGCCGTTGCCCGCCTCCCCGCCCCCCCTCTTGCGCCGTGAGCGAGGCGCGTGCACCCGACCGCCGCTCATCGTTCGATTTCCATATTTGGAAGTGAGTTCAACGAAAACCGCGCAAAGGGGAGGAGAGGGGAGGGGCGGCGGAGGATTTCCTCCCACTGCTAACATGCTAATTGCTTTCTAGCTCCGACTGGCTATAATGACAGCAGAGAGGTTTCCTTACATGGTGTTCGGCGCCGTTGCCCGGCCCTCTCGCCATTAATGAGAATTAATTGCACGTATTCACTTACAAGAACAGTAATAATGTTGATTAAACCAACAGTTACACAATAATACTTAGTAAGATTTTGTAGCGAGTAAAACGTAAAGAAAAAGCAAATAAGTAAAAAAAAAAAAGAAACAACAACTGGGGAGTACATGCTTACTACGACTACTACCAATAATAATAACAACAATAATAATAATAATAATAATAATAATAATAGTTGTTTAATACAAAAATTGACATTTTTACATTTACTAAAATAATTTACTTCTTACTTGTTTAAGTAGTATGGGTTATATTTGCTTTATCATTTTTAGCCCGGGAAAATTATCAATCGATCAATCAATTAAGTTTATTTGTATAGCGCATTTTACCAGCAAGACAGCTAAAAAAAAATCATAAAAAAAACATAGTCACCAATTGAGAAACCAAAACAAACATTACATTTTGTGAAATGTTTAATTCATTTCAATTCAGTTTATTTATATAGCGTCAATTCACAACAATTGTAATTTCAAGGCACTTTATAAAAATATAAATATCTCAAATGAAATCGTACCATGCATACAATTTGATTGATAATTAAACAGTACAGTAAGCTAAATTAACTATTCAAAGTAGTTTAATTTTAGTAGGAAGTCATTTATTGGGAATACAGATTCAAATTAAAAACGCACGTTCAAAAACAAATAAAAATATTTCAGGAAAATACCAAAAAAATCAGCTGTAATAAGTGTGTCATTATAATAAACATCAAAGATCAAACTCCAGACAAAGCAGTCGGATTATACCTGTTAGTTCACATGCGCTCACGCTTCGTGCACGCCTCTACAGCCGGGAACGCGCTTTTATGCGCGCTCCCACAGTGTATATAGTCATTTCGTCATCGGTCCATTCAATTTCTCTCAGACGCTGAACTGTTCACTGCTCTGACAATGGTAGGTGTTTTTTTGTTGTTTTTTTTGTTTACTGCGGTTCACGTTTAGATAACGTCGCGGCTCCCGTTCCCCATTATAGAGATGTTTTGAAAGTACACGGTGTTTTCTTATTTTAACAGGTAAAATTTGTGTTTACTTTACTGGTGTTTTTGTTGGTTTAGCTGGCATCATACTCTCCTGACCGGTTGGCTGCCGCAGCAGACAGTTAACAACCCAGAGGCTAAGCTAATGCTGCCCTGCTGGTTGAGCAGGTTATGCTTTCTCTTAACAGTCACATGTGTAGTGAATTTTTTTTCCGCCTCATCGAATAACCCCATCAGGATACTTTCTTTCTGCCATAATGGGGGGGGGATGAAGTACCAATCGCCCTGAAACAACTGGCGCCATTTCGGCAGTCTTAGTGTGTTTCGCAGGGAAAGGTCTGAGATAACGTTCGCGGCGTTGCCATGACACTGCGCGGATGTTTTTACTGCATCGTGTTTCTGTTATTTCACCTCCAGACTCGCCTCGCTGGCAGGTGCAGCGGCGCCTCATCTAGATAAGGCGCCGCTAACCAGTGGCGTTAGCATTCCTAGCCACTGGTATGAGTGGCGCTAGCTGAGATTTCTCCTTCTTTGTCTCTACTCCGCCTCTTCACGCTCAGTTTCTGTCACCCCAGCGCTGCAGATGAAGCCAATTTGAGCTGTTTTTGCTTCTAAATAAAACGTACGGCGTATTCCTTAGTAATGCTGAATAAATAAGTGATATTTGACAGTGTGTGTCAGGGTAGTTTTGCCTTATATAGCAAGCTAGCGCTCACATGTGCTGCGTTCATGGCCCCACCCTGAATTTGGTGCAAAGACCATTTTGTCTCCCACTGCTTTATAACGCCACTCTCATCTTTTCCATGCTCTTGCTCGCTGTGAGCATTTTTTTTTTTTTTTGCTATTTTCTTCTGAAATGACGTCAAAAATAATCTAGGTTATGTAACATTAGTGTTAGCAGAGGCTAAAGCAGACTGGCGCATCTTGTTTTGTAGCTGCGCATCCTGCCAGTAACATGAAGGCCCATCACATTATTTCACCAAAATAGAGATGTAGATTTATAATGCATGCTGCATTAAAGGGATCAAAAGTATGGAGTTGACATTTTACCTTACAGAGGTGGGAAGAGTATACAGAAATTGTACTCAAGTCAGGATAGAAATACTATGTAATAAATTACTCAATACAGCGTAGTAAAAATACTCCATTACATACTTTTTTTTTTTCCAAAAAAAATCACTCAAGTAAATATAACTAGTTACTGCCAAACTCAAAGTATGAAAAACCTGAATTATTTTTTATTTTCTATAAGATTTAGGTCTGATCTTCTAATGATCAACAACTCGCTACTCTAAATGTAAACAAAAGATTGACTCATTTCTGTCACCCACTGGTTAATTTACCACATCAGGTTTTGCGTGTAAATGTTTCATCGTCTTTGGTTTCCAGTTACCATCTGAGAACCCACAGCATTACACAAGTCTGTATATTACAGGGACCGTTATTGAATCTATGCAGAACTTATTTTGATGTGAAATAAAAACGAGTTAGACAGGTTGGTTTGGTCAACCTGGTTGGTTTTGCAACAAGGCTGGTTTTAATGACTATTATGTCCTGCCAATTGGTCTGTAAATTTCTCGACGACACCTGATCCTCTATTTTTGTTTCCTTGTCCTTAGAAAAGCAAATTGGAATCAATTAAAATGAAATTGGCAAGTCAGACCTCACAGCAAACTCAAATTCTAGCAAATTATGTACATATTTGACCATTTCTCAGATTTAAAGGTTTTGTTTTTATTATATGAAGGGAAAATGTTCTAAATGTCAAAATTGTCGCAAAGTATTTTGGCAGATCAGATGCCAGGTTGTTCTCTGATTGTAATGACATTGCAATTAACTTTCAAAATATAAATTACAACACATTTCTTCTTTCCAGTCAAACTGGGAATTGGCAGGTCAATCCTAAAAAATGAAATAAAAAACCAGGAAATCTGTATCCGTCTGGAAAAGCTTCATCAGCAAATCTAAGTAATATGTGTTATTTAGTGTCAGTTCAGTTTTAGTGCTTAAAAATCATGTTATACTTTTGAGTTTTTGTTGCAGACGCTTATAAATGCTGACTCAGTCTAACTTGTTTCTGTTCTGAGTCTGACATGAGCAGAAATGATGAAAATGCTCGGTGTTAAAGGCGTGAAGGCCTTATTTTAACCCCAGCAGGTCATGAAGGCTTTGCATCCTGTGACTGGATTTTGAACTGTGAATTGGGTAATAAATGGTTAAGATTAGATAAGCTGAGAGCAGAGTGAAGCTCTTTGGAACAGAGAGAAACTTAATGTTCACTTTTAAAAAAGGGTAATTTCTTAAGTCTAACAAAGCAGATTAGTAAAAAAAATATGGAAGCTAAAAGAAATGCTAATTTTTGTGTGGAAAAAGTGTGTTTTATATTTAAGCTGCCTGATAGGAAGGTGGGATTATTATGCTGGATTCTTCACCCTTTAATGAAAAGTTCAGGAAATGGGGGAATATCTGCACTGGGATGATGTCATAAATATTCAGGAAGTGTTTACTTTTTAATGAGTCTGCTGGTTAATGATTCCCACTACGAGCTTTTAACACCCTGAGCAAACGGAGGCCTGCTGCAGTCTGCTCCGCTCCCGTCTTTCCTGGCCTACTTCCTCCTCTCTGTGTTTTTTCCACTGATATGTTTGTCGTCTCGGCCTGAGAAGGCGGTTTCTCCACATGAAGTGGCTAAACGGAGTCAGGAGACTTGACTGAGTGTCTTTATGGGCCGTTTGGGACTGATTTGGATCCAGTTTTTTTAAACAGAGGCTTTATTGTTGTTGTTTTTTTGGGTGTTTAATTCCCGACCGCAGCCTCTCACACATGGCCATCTTTACTGCAGGAATGCATGACACAAAGGAGCTTATGTAATGTTTTATACCTACCGGCCGAATGGGAGTCACAAACTTACTCAGAATTACGCATTAAATATTTTTATTTATTTATTATTATTTCTGTTGATTAAGTTGTTCGTTTGTGTTAGGTTGCTTTTACCACACTACGTCTGTCTCTGTCAGAGTTTGGTATTTATTAGAGTAACTCTTTAAAAAATGTACTTTTACGAGTAATTTTGTCATGAAGTATTTCTACTCTTGAGTAAAATTTCTGGATTTTCTACCCACTGAATGAAAAACAAACATGTTTTAACCAAAAATTCATCAGACACACACCTGCAGTTTTTGTTAAACTTTTTTTTTTTTTATTGAAAGGTTTGGGAAAATTTATTTTGCATGATTTTGTTATTTTTTGTTACATATATGAATTATTGTCATTTTCATCCCTAAAATACCAAAATTTCCACTTAACTCTATATTTTGCTTCATCCAATGATGTAACTTTTAAATATTAAATGATTGATAATTTGATCAGTTACTTTTTACTGTTACTTTAGTGGAGACATGTTGAGTGTCTCTCCTCTTTCTGTTTGGGTTCGGGTCTATCTTGGCGCCAGCTCTGCTAACAGCTAACGGCCGGTCGCGGCCACACCTTTAGCTGCTGCAGTCTGTCTTATCAGTCGCCGCCGTTGGGAGGATTCGTGCTGTGCGTGACGGTCACATGTCGTCCTCTCGGGTTCCTCGGCTCAGGCGTCTCTGTTCAGTCACAGCTGGCAAACGTAAACCTGCAGCGGACGCTTTACTCAGCACAACTTCAGAGTTTCTGTTTTTAAAATGTTATAAGAAAGATCTCAAGGATCAGAGGAAGCATGTCTGTGTATAAATTAAGATGATGTTTCTTTAAACTCACCAGGTTTCAAGTTTTCTTCAACAAAATATAAAATTGAGCATTTTTAATGAGTTAAACACATTTTCTGTTTAAAACAAATAAAATAAATGCTTCAGGTTCCTTGATTGCAACAGTTTTATCTCCAACAGAGCAGCATTTAATCATATTTTTTGAATTTACTTATATTGATGCTTTTGTGAAATAGTGTTATTGGAAATGTTACCATTTTCTCCATTTTTTTAATCTTATTTTAAATTTCTTGAGACAATAATAAATCAAAATTCTTGACGTTCTTCACTATAAATAATAGAGTAAATGGGTGATTAAGAAAACATTTTCCATATTTTATAATCAGAAGACAATAACAAATTTACTGGACAAATTGTCCCTGAAGTTATTACAATAAGTGATAATATTTTTTTCCCCAAGTATTCATGTAACTAAAGTAATAATAATGCAAGAGCACATTCTCAAATATGAATAAACTTCAAATTAAAATGAATATTTAACCCTGAAACTGGAAGTCATTTTAAATGTTAAAAATAAAAAACAGAAATGACAAAATGTATTATGAATTCTCTGTAAACACAATTATCCTTCAAAAAGCCCCAGACTGAAGACATTTATCATCATTTTTGGTAGAAAGAGAGGAATCCTTCTGATCCATCAGGCGATCAGTTGATTGCTCGGCTCCTGTTAAGGTGTCTTCTGTTGACGCAGGCCTCCGGTGTGAAAGTCACAGACGAAGTGATCAGCGTCTTCAACGACATGAAGGTCCGTAAGGCTCAGGCGAACGAGGACGAGAAGAGGAAGAGGAAGAAGGCCATCCTCTTTTGCCTCAGCAAGGACCTGAAGAACATCGTTCTGGACGAAGGCAAAGAAATCCTGCTGGGCGACATCGGCAACACCGTCAAGGACCCGTACGAGGACTTTGTGAAGATGCTGCCGCCCAACGACTGCCGCTACGCTCTGTACGACGCCACCTACGAGACCAAAGAGACGAAGAAGGAGGACTTGGTCTTCATTTTCTGGTGAGGATCGTTGTTGCTGAAATGTTTTCAGAGAATCGTGGCGGTGGATTTAAACCTTCCTCCTCTTCCTCAGGGCACCAGAAAGCGCTCCGCTGAAGAGCAAGATGATCTACGCCAGCTCCAAAGACGCCATCAAGAGGAAATTTGAAGGTGAGCAGCCGCGTGCGGCGGGAACTTCATCCGGTTTTACTTCTGCCGGATGGTTTCCAGGGTTTTCTGGATTTTTCTTTTATGATTTTGTTTGATGTACTTGCTGTTACTTGATTCCTATAAAGTGTTTAGAGAAGCGCCATGAAAATTTATTTATTACTGCGTAATACTGCAGTAAAGTATCAAGTATACTTCATTGTCACTATTTTGAATGATTATTTGAAAAGCTAACCTAAAACAGGAACTTTCTGCACAAACTTATTTTTGTTTGAATATAAATTGATAGAATTTGACAAACTATGAAACCTTTTAGAAATGTTTAAAGTGTTTTGTTTAAATACTCTTTAACATCCTTGCTTCTGAAGTGACTGGGAAGTCACCACTAAGCGCTGGTTTTGACTTATGATCACATTTTTTTCTAGAACATTTCAGAAATTAATCTAAAAAATTCTGCGGCTTTTGGTGGAAATTTACTCCATTTTAGTAGGACAACCAGTCTGAAAAGTTCATTCACCAGAAAAAAAACTCTGGAATTTTGAAATTAATCTCAGAAATTTCTAGAAAAAACCTGTAAATTTTCTGATTTTCAAAAGTAGAAAAAATTTCAACTTTGAATTTCTGGAAAATTTCTGTAATCTGAAAAAAAAAAAATAAGGTTTTAGTGGAAATTTACTCCTGTTCTTTTTAACCTTTTTTCTGTGTAAATGATACGCTGTTGAAAACCCAGTTTAGTTTTTAGGATTCACACACTTGTAGGAAAAACATTTGAGTTTAAAAAGTTGAAAATTTGTTAGAAAATGTTCACCTTTGTTCTGGAAATTTCTCAATTTTTTCAGAGTTTCAAAAGTCAAAGATTTTCAGCTTTTAAAACTCAGAAGTTTTTTGGTGGACGTTTGCTCCTTTAACTCATTTTAAATGGCTGAAACATGTCCTGTAGGATTAACTGGTGCATTTTGTTTTTAATTATCTTGGGAATAAATAAATTTATTTTTTAATCACAGAGATGTTAGAATAATCAGGTGAAAACTTCCCAGTTTTTGACAGCTCAGTGTGTTTTTTAATTTTTCTCCAGGCATCAAGCACGAGTGGCAGGTGAACGGTTTAGAGGACCTGAAGGAGCGACGCACGCTGGCAGAGAAGCTGGGCGGCTCGGCGATAGTCACCCTGGAAGGAACTCCTTTATAAACACGCCTCTCCTCTTCCTCATCCTCCTCCTGCGGCTTCGCTCGAAGCCTCTCAGACACATCTGTTGGGTTTAGTTGTTCATTCCAGTCGGGTTGGAGAAAACGGGGAAAAGCAGAACCAGGGTCATTTGTGGGACTCCTAGGGAGGGCGGCCTGGGGAGGGTGACAAAGAAAAACACACAAAAAAACACACAATCAGGCAGACTGTTCATGCAACATAAGGATTATGAACAAAACACACCTAAAGATACTAATGATGAAGGACGGTGATGAAGACGATGACATTTAAATGCACTTATTCACATTTCAGGACAGGGTTTTGTTCTTTCCACTTGAAATATTTCAGAGAAAGGGACAGTTCTTAAAATCATGAAAGCTATTCCAACTACATTTTATTTTTATTTTTTTTGCCAAACTTCTAGTTAAGTTTAGCGTAGTGAACACTAGACGTAGTATGAACTAATTCACTCTTGTTTGCACAAGACGGATGAAAACCTCTGGGGGAACACGGTTAAATATTTTTTTGTTTTCGTCATTCCATTTGGTTTTTGGGTTTTTTTTTTTTTTGGGGGGGTTTTGTTTTCATGCAGTCCCGAAAACTTGAGTGATTCCGTTTTATTTCCTGTTGTGTCAGAGAACTCGGCATTCGATGTAGTGAACATAACATTCCTCGTACTTGTTAAGAAAAGGTTTCCTCGTTTTAAAAAGCTTTGTGGTGTTGCTGATGGTCTGACGTGGAGCGACGTGTAAATGAAGGACAAGCAGACTGAAGCGAAGGGTGGATGTTTTGTATCGTCTCCTTATCTCTAATAAAAGCACTAAACTACTGACTTCTTCTGCTTTCTGGTTCTTTTAAACTGGATATCAGCCACTCAGTTTTTTAAAATACATTTTCTATTTGTGCTGCACAATGAAACTGTGACAAAAGGTATTTAGGTGTTTTGGGAAAATCCATCTATTTATTAATCTCGCAGTTTAGTTATCAATCTGTCATTTTATCATTTGTTTTCAGTCCCATCCGTCTTGTTTTTCCGTCTGTCCGTCCAGTTCATAAATGTTTGTCCTCCCATTCATCCATTGTCTTAAACTTCACACACCCATTTTTACCACAATAGGAAAAAGAAGACATTTTTCAGTTTAAAAAATCAAAAGTTTCTTAAAAAAAAAACCCAATTTTTTTTTTAATTAATCTCAGAAATTTATAGTAAAGGGAAGGAAATTTCTGAGTTTCAAAAGTATTTTTTTAACTGAGGTATCCTTACTTGTTCATCTTTTAAAAAAATGATCTTTTTCTATATTTGTACATCTGTAGAGCTACATCTAATTATTTTAGTAATTGATCTACTGATTTATTTTGATTAGCTGGATTGAATTCTCTAGATTTTTTTTACTGAACTAAAATCATAATAGAAAAACATTTCAAAAATACAAATTACATTTAAAAAAAAATTAAAATAGAATAAACAAATTTTATTAAATGTAATATGTATTTTTGGACTAATCAATGAAATTATAGAAAAGGGTAATTTTTAAATTATTTTTATTACATAATTTCATCTGGGTAAAGCTAAAGCTATGCCACTTGAGGAGTTTTGGGTAGAACGGTTCTTTTGTGAATCTTTAATGTAAAATTCTATGTTTTTTGTGCAGTTTTGCCTTAATTACTGTTCTGAACATATTCTTGGTCTATTTTTCTTTTTTGTACTCCAATTAACAATTGATTACAAAAATTAGTTGACAATTATTTCAATAATCAATTCATCACGATTAGTCTAGGGCTGAAACGATTCCTCGAATGATTCGAGTACCTCGATTACTAAAATATTCGTTTACAACAGCCCTAGATTAGTCA